AAGGAAGTGACGGGCGGGATCTTGGATCCTTCCTCTTCCCAAGGCTGGAGGTTCTGGAGGGCGAAGAGGGACGAGTTGTGCAGGCAGAGCGGGTCCGGCTGGATCGAGTCGTTGAGCGACTTCTGGAAGGCGTCGTGCTGGAGCTGCAGCATCAGCCGGCTCGCCTGCTGCCGCTCGGCTTCCCGCTCCTCCGCCGTCTGGCGCCTGGGCACCCAAGGGCGCGGAAAGAGAGAGGGAGAGAGGGAGAGGGAGAGACGGGAGGGGAGGGTAGAGGAGGGGGGGTCCCCCCAGTCAGTCAACTGCACAGGCCCAGCGAGCCCTCCCCGCCCCTCCCGGAGGGGGGCCAACCCTCAACCTCCCCACCCACCCCCGCTTCCCTCCTGGCCTAGGCAGCGGGCAGGGGTTGGAGGAGGGCGCCGCGGCCATCCACTCCGAGCACCTTCAATCCGGAGTAAAGAACCCATCCCGAAGGGAATTCTTCCTCTCCCCCCCCCCCACCTCCTCCCAGCCCGGTTCCTGTCCATGCGGATCGCCTCCGGAGCCCAACCTGCTCCCTTGCCCATTGAACCCCGCGATCCATACGCTCCCCCTCACACTCACACAAACTCTCTCTATGGAGAACCTGATTAAAAAAACACTCTTGGGTGTGTGTGTGTGGAATGACTCCTGACTAAGCACAGGATGGCGTAGGCCGAAGTAACCGGTGGGATCAGGCCCACGAATTTCGAAATCAGATTCAGGACCCTTGCCAATGTATTACAGTGGGGGGGGGTGTTCCGAAGCGCGTTGCGCTGCCTCGCCGACAAGCCGGTGGCCGCAACTTCCCCGGACAGCCCCGATCGCGCCTCCGGGGCCTCCAGAAGGGCCCCCGAGCCTCAGGCAACCCATCGCCCCGGGCAGTGTTTGCGGGCGATCCGCCCCCACACACGCCGCTCGGCTTTTGGAGTTTCCCCGATGGCGTCCTTTCTACCGGTTAGACGGGGAAGGAGCAGCGCTTCTCGGCCGGTCCAGAGGAGGCTGGCCGTTGGGAGGGGGAGGCCCTTTTGAGGCAGGTCACGGCGGTCCTTCGGGGACTTAGACCCCCCCCCCAACCCCCCCGGCGGCAGAGCTCAGCCCCCCCTT